GGCAAATAAACAACAGTGAATGAGTGGATAGAGGGCACTTTTTGACCTTTTTGACCTTTGCCGACAACGNCCAATTTTCGTTGGAAAATCGTCGACATGCCGGCCGGGAATCGAGAAAAGACTGTTTTTTTAGTTTCAATTAGCCAATGCGTACTGTACAGACAAAAGGCTATTTCGATTGTACCTACGGCTTGACATGAATATCAAACTTCCCAGAGACTTCCCAAAGTGAATTCGTAGGAGCATCCTCTGCTTTGCTTTTTTTCAGCGGTTTCAGTTGCGATTAGAGATCGGGGCATTGGCTGGGAAACTCGTTTGTATCCTTTTCCTTTACTACTCAATCAAACAATGGTATATAAATTATGACATATTATTTCCTATTTCCTTACTGACAACTGAGTCATTCATGAGCTCCCTTCACTTCTTCCTTTTCCATCATCAATTTACCGAATTTTTCAGGTTTATTACAGTGAAGACGACATGTTTTGGAAGGAACTCGTCTGCTCGCCAACCACGCCTATCGACGACTTCTAATTGAAATTCTACAAGGTTCATAGGAAAACAAAGGCTTATCAACAGTGAAACGAAGGAAACTTGAAAAGTACGAAAGAGTGAAATGAGAGGTTAGTAAGAAAGTAATAAAAACAAGAATAAGGGTGACTGTTAACCTAATAGTATGTGATATACGGTAAGGAGGCAAATAAACAACAGTGAATGAGTGGATAGAGGGCACTTTTTGACCTTTGCCGACAACGGATGAACCAGCAAGACACAAGAAATTACCACTGTAGAGCCATAAAGAGCTGAAATAGGGCTGTACGAGATCTTAGCGGACAGATCAACGATAACGATCATCTACACCGAATTGCATTTCTTTGGTAGTGGTTTACGGATCCGGCAAGGAGGCAGAAATTTCCCTTGGCAGCAGGAAACAGGGGCAGTGAGGTACCACCAGAAATCATTGGATAGACCTTTAGATAAGAATATGCAGATATTCACTCGTATTTACCACATTTCACTGAA